CCAACCCACCAAAATCAGGGTGATTACCGACCGTGGGTGGTGGAGTGAAATACGGTGAGAAGAATAATGACTCTGAACAATATATTTTTTAATAGTCAACTGCATAATTTGGGCCTTTGCATGCAATTGTGACCAATAAATTATCGTATGTGATTGTGACCTTAGTGTATAACTGAGAATTATAGATTGTGTTATGTAACTACGATATGTTTAATTTCAATTATATATTCCAACATTTTATTAGAAATCACATTTGTGACCTGTCAATCTTGAACATTTTGTTGCATTGAATTTTGTAATAATGAGGCGAAGATTGAATGCCTTCAAGCCCTCAAGGCCAATACCTATACAACAGGCCGCATCTTTGGCCCGACCAAACCCAAGACCTCATTTACAACTCAATCAACTTCCTACTACTAAACGAACTTAAAAATCAGTCACACGTTGAAGAACACAATTCATTCCTAAGCAAGATGTACTGAAAGTCGCTCCTTTCACAGCCTCCTAAAATGGTGCAGAGACGATGTCTCTTATCTCTAGAATTCTTAATTCATTAGTTGAAGTCTCAAGCTCTTCACCAGAATTCATCAGCTCATTAGATTCATTTCCCACACTATTAACAACTGGTTTTAAACCCTGCATCATAACCAAAGAATGTTACATGATCATCAATACATCAATTTAAAGGCTTAATTGACTTACAAGCCAATATGATCCATGTAGAATAATGTACATTAATTCCCAAGTGCAAAGTGTGTACGGAACTTAACAGAATCATACAATATGTGCACACTAAATTGAACTTATCTAATCCTCCCTACCGAATTTCAATTATTGTTTATGATGAAGGCATTTTCACTCATATGCTTCGATTTCAAGAAATATTCTTCTTTCCTAGCAACAAAACTAACAAATACATTTTCCCCCAAACTTGAAAAAAGAAAAGGAATTGAATCTAGCCTTTTTGTCCTAGGTCTAGTATTGATAACCTTTACATAGCTAAGAAAAAGCTGTCCAATAAGAGCTTTTTCAACACGTCTGAGGAACAACGTATCAACAAAAGCTCTCATTTTAAGAAAGTCCTAAATGTTATAAGCAAGCCAATCTCCTCATGTTTTATGTCCTTTTTATTTCGTTTCAAATGTCAATGCATAAAAATGTAAAATTCGGCAATGAAACCTGATTGTTCCGCATTTAACAAGGAAAAAAATTGAGAGAAATCCACATTTCCTTTGAACTACTTTGATGATATTCTGAACTCCATGAAATTAACAAAAATAAAATCCAAATTACGTACAAACAAGAGGACCTTTTCAGCAATCCTTTCAATTTACCTATGCTATTTCGAACCAAGATTATTTACATTAATCATTATAGTGCATCAAAAATCCACTTATGTCAATGCATTTTATAATAAGAAGAAGTTATACTTTGATTGTTTAGTCTAAATAGAAATGATCTCCTATGTGGGTAGTATAGAACATGCCGAGTGCTAATGTGGCGACGTCACATCAGCGATGAAATCTACAATTTTTGACAACTCAACATTAAATTATCAAAAATAGTAGGCTCACGTCAACCATAGACAAAATAACTTATACCTACCATGGGCAAGAAATCATTTCTATTAGTCTAAATAGACATTTCAAGGCACAAAGTTTCCGTTCTATTTTTAATTAGTAATTTTGCATCCACGAACATAGATATCTGTGCAAAATTTTATACAATGGAGATTTTCTTATTTAGAGCCTGTTTGGGAGTGACTTCCCCCCCCCCCCCCCCCCCCAAATAATTTTTTGACTGTTATTTCACTATTCCAGCCGTTATATTTGACTTCTTCTCTTACAGGTAAATCCCACTTTTCTCCTAACAGTCAAAAAATCAATTCTCAAAATTACTCATAAACAAGCTCTAATTAAATATCCCACTTTTCTCCTATACAATGCAGATTTTCTTATTTAGAGCCTGTTTGGGAGTGACTTTTTCTCCCAAAAAAATAATTTTTTGACTGTTATTTCACTATTCCAGCCATCATATTTGACTTCTTCTCCCACAGGTGAATCTCACTTTTCTCTTAACAGTCAAAAAATCAATTCTCAAAATCACTCCTAAACAAGCTTTAATTAAATATCCCACTTTTCTCCTATACAATGGAGATTTTCTTATTTAGAGCCTGTTTGGGAGTGACTTTTTCCTCCAAAAAAATAATTTTTTGACTGTTATTTCACTATTCCAGCCGTCATATTTGACTTCTTCTCTTATAGGTGAATCTCACTTTTCTCCTAACAGTCAAAAAATCAATTCTCAAAATCACTCCTAAACAAGCTCTAATTAAATATCTCAAAAGCTGGAGAGTCGGTAATGATTTAAGGAGCAAGTCAACGATAAATCAAAAAGTGGCCAACATCAAGATTTGTTTCGAAATAAATTAAGCTCCTTCGTCAAGAAGAATTTGACACTTTTGTTGACCAATACTAAGATGAAGTGAAACTCGTGTGAATAAAAAAAGCCCAAAAAATTCCTGCCCCTGTTGTGAGGGGTCTAGCAGGGTGGGTGTCAGCATAGCAGGTTTGAAGTAATCTTGGGAACATAATATAAAGCATGTTTATATTGAAATCCATTTTTGAAAAACTCATTTTCAATCAGAATTTGTCTCAACAAAATAAGTCTGTATGCCAACCTGAAATTTTTCATTATTTTTTAACAACACATTTTTCGAAAAAATACAATTACAAAACTCATTTCACAACAAAATGAGACTCAAATAAGTACTCAAAGTCCAAGTACTGCATAATAAAAATGGAATTCGAAAAATAAACTGATATTGCATGCATGGATTTATCTCTTTCCAAAATGGAACCAACCATATAGTAAGACAAAATCAAAACAGAAATACAAGCTTAGGACATGCCACAAGACAATTCCATCAATCCATAAAATAAATCAAAAGAAAATATTATACAGCCTTTAACTAATAAACCTTATTAAAAACCTTCCTAAATTGATTCTTTAAGTGCAAATTTGAAGAATCTTTCGTTCAAAAATAACTTACAAATATATATCTTTTTTAATAAAAACATTTACATGACGAAAAATGAAGGTTTATGTGACTTAAAAACATAATAATAATAATAATAATAATAATAATAATAATAATAATAATAATAATAATGGACAAAAAAAACAAACGTTTTAGATTTATCAGGCACAAGAATTAGAAGAACACGAAGCTTTCCTAAGCTATTTTCGACTATGGAATTTAACTGATGCATCCAAAATTCGATTTTTATGCTTATCTTTGTGAATATTGCTACTGCTAAATCCTCATGCACAGTTCCATGCACAAATAAACTTCCAAAAGCAATTGAAGTTAGAATTTCAACATACCTTTGTAAATATCCTCAAAGCCTCTTCAATGCTCCTGTTATTCATCACATACAATGCTGCCTCCTGTAATAACCATATCCAACCAAGAAAAACATCAACACACACAGATATATATATATATATATATATATATATATATATATAGAGAGAGAGAGAGAGAGAGAGAGAGAGAGAGAGAGAGAGAGAGAGAGAGACTTGCCCTAGCAAATTGGATTTGATCAATATTTAGAGTAAGAGGTTCCTTCTCAATTGATGATTGCCTCTCTATTCCAATCTCCATTGCAGACATCCTTAAAATCTCCACAGAACAAATTTTCTTCAACTAAGACAACGTAAGTGAAATAGTATCATTCAATAGTGCAAAAACCATTTATATACACAGACAAATACATAAAATATATATTATATTGAAAGTGTGGGGTGAACAAGAGAACCACGTAACTAAACGTGGCAAAACGAGCCCAGAAGACGTGTAATATTGTAGATAGCTAATCTGGAAAACGTGGAGGGAGATAAGGTTTACTATTCCATTTTAAGAAACCGTGAAGATTTTTCAAAGATATGACGCTTGGACGTTTCTAATTTGAGAAAGTTAAGCAATTTCATGGACTGTTTACGTGTTTATACGTGGGTGCACTTGGGATGATTAGTCGGTTACCTGATGCACACGTGTGTCAATCTTGGTGGTTGGCTGTTATCCTAATTGATAGCGTTATAGGCAGCTGAGAGGGGAACGTGGGGTCGGGAGCAGTTGATGGTTTGTCTAAGGAAATTTCTTTTATGCATGTCTTGCAAAGCTTAAATTAAAATTAGGGGTATCAAGCTTACTTTTCATCCATAAATAATGTAAAATTCATAATTATAAATCACTTATTATTATTACATTTTGTAGAATTCATAACTTATAATCATTTAAATTTTAAATATGAGTCCTTCCAGATATTGGTTAAAATGAAATTTGTGTTTCAGTGAAAATTTTAGTATCATTTTCTTAAAATGTTGAGTAAATTTCATTTGCAATCATAAAAGCTTTCAATTGGTTCACTAACTTCAACTTGTCTCAATTGAAACTGTTGCGTGCTAAAATGATTACTGCCTATGAGGGTTCCATGTCGTCCGAAATGGCCCCATTACATTTCTGCATGTCTATTAGCATTTGCATTAAGGTCATCGAGACCCACCAAAGCGAAAGACGTGCAGATCGTTGAAGCACTTTCTAGCAGCAAAATATGCATAACCCTAACACTTGGAAGCCTCGTCCAAGCAGAGAAAATAAAGGGGTCAACTCAACCTTGGACATAGACACTACTTTAAATGTGGCATTCTAACACAATCAATCTTTTGGGCAAACCCAAGCTTTTATATAACAAATTGTATGGCAGGTGTGACTAAAGTACAAAACTCAAGTAAGCCATACCTAAACCCCCAAAAATAACAAAATCATATCAAAATTCGGACATAATAACTCCACTACTGAAATATAAAAATAGTTTCTTATTTTTTAGGTCAACGGAAAATTTAATTTCAATTTAGTTTAAATTAATTCACCAACCTTAATTTTAGATTCATATTTCACCTCTATATCGCCCTACTATCACAAATTTATGGAAATTGCTTTATTTGAAGTTATACCATAATACAACTTCCAAACACATTTTATGACATGTCAACAGCTCACCCCACCACGTTTTAAAAATATATTTTGACATTTTGATCTAAGGGTCCGTTAAATTGAAACGAATTCCATGATAAATGTCACATCTGAGTAATGAGTTTTCTACTTCCATTGTTTGATGCGAAAGGAGAAATGAAATTCGTATTCTAAGGTACAATCACTTAAAGCATGTTTTTGGTCAATTCTATGAAATTTGAATTCCTATGGTTTTGTGGTTTTTTATTTTTCAATATACATGGAATTTGTTTGTCTTTTCCACCTTTGTAATCAAACGGACCCTAAATGCACTGTCATAACCTTTATTTTACAAATTTAATATTTTTTATAATAAGAAGCAATTACACGGAAGATCATTTTAATATATAATATGAATTGATATATCGTGTGACCGTCTCATTTTTACATATATTTGAACACCATTCTTTCGGGGAAAATGTATTTTTAGACAGTACTTTGATATCATTTTAACGACACATTCTTCAATAAAATAATATTACATGTAAATTCAAAACTTTTCTTTATTTTTTAACCACATATTCTTCAATAAAATAATATTACCCGCAAATCACATTATAAATCTCATAAAAAAACATAGGTTGTGAAAACATTTTCAATGACAATATAAGGAAAAGTTGTAGCTAGGCTCCCAAACATTTCAATTAGCAGCAGACTATACACAAATCTTTCATGTCAATTGCGTATAGAGGAAAATTTGATTAAAATACGTCCAATTGATTCTTCTTCTCGGAGCTCCAACCCCACCCAGCCTACCGATCGATTTTATGTTTCCTTGAATAACCATAAAAATGAATAGCTACATGTTTTCATTATATATGGACAAGACGATCAATATGACGTTCACACTCAATGATCAACATTTGTGTCTCATGACTAACTAACTTCAGTAGGAACGAAGTTAACTCAAATTCTATCAAATTCCTCTCGATGATATAACAACTCCGTATCTAATCTTTTTTATACTTGTTCAAATATTCTACAACGTTTCAAAATATTATTGATGATGGCAAGCGAGAGCTCAAGCTCTCAAATAGCATGCAACCAATTTACTGACTAAGTGTCATTTTACCAAATACCATGTTTATTTGACTTATATTATCTCGTGCGATCATAAGAATGAATGAAGACACATTCCAACTACCTTTGACATCACGATCGATACAAAGTTCGCCTATAATGGCCAACATGCATGTCTCATAAGTAATTACACTACCCTAGGAATGAAGTGAACTGAAATTCTAGTAAACCCCACTAGATGAGATAACAAAACTTAGTACCTTACCTAAACTCATCCAGATAAGCAGCAATGTTTGGAGTGAAATCAAAATTTCTAGTACAAAAAAACAAAATTTTCCTTTTTAACAGTTGGATGCTGCTGTCACCAAAATTACTTCTTTTTGTTCTCATATCCACTTTTATGACAATAAAAGTGATAGAAATATATTTATATTACATATAGAGACCGTATATGATTCAAAAGTGTTATGTACTTAGAGATCAATATAGTGACAAGTGAGTAAGTATTCCAACACTAACCATGAAGTTAACTCAAAACTCAATTTACTTCATTAATACGAAGTGACAATTTCACCAATTTCACTAACTCTTTAACATTCTAACAAAATAATATACGTTGTTAAAGACAGAGAAAATAATGTTATAGATCAAAAATTATTGCAATCAGACTAAACAGCCTATAATATTTTATAACACCAAACAAACAATACATAGTCCGCTAAATCCAAGCATGGACATTTGTATAATGCATGGATTTAAAATGTTGAAATGAAGTTTTGATACCTGGTGGAGCAGCTATGCAAGCCATGTATTACAGAGGCTAGGTCTGACATAGAAAAGGAGTCTCTAAAAGATAGGCAACTTGATGAAGCTGTGATGTAGAGGCAATGCCGTACCATGGAAGACGGGGCTCTGAAGGTAGGCAGCTTGATGAAGCTGTAAGGCAAAGGCAAGGTGATGTGACAAATGGAATGTTGTAGCATAGGTGATTTGAAACCTCTGAGCTGACCAGACATTTTTGAGGTTTGTGCCAATGATTTGAAAGGTGTTGCGTTTTTTTCAAGATAATAAACTGAGGCATGCGTACAAGCTCAAGGCCATGCGACCAAACACATGTTTGATGTTTGAGATGTACTGCTTCATCTAGACCTTTGCCTTATCCGAACCTTTGATTACCTTTAACCTTTCATTTTAACAGCTCGGATGAGCTGATGAATGGATGGCTAAGATCAATTTTGATTTTATCCAACGATTGAAGTGCACTAGCCTTTACCTATAAAAGGCCTTTCCATTTCATTTTCAATTTCTTTACCCTACAAAAAATTCAAAATCGTAATTCCAGTGAGAAATTTCAATTTTCTGGCGACATTCATCGTCTTTGGTGAGCTCATTTCCTGGAAAAGCCATGTTCTAGTTAAATCTTAGTTTCTTTTTTTATTTTCTTCATCCCTTTTGTGATTTTCTTCTTTAAAACAAGCACTAATGATGTCTGGGACTATGAGCTTTAGGCGAGATGAGTGTAAGTGTTATGCTTTAGGTCTAATCAACTTTAGATATAAGCATTTTAATATATAGTTGATATAATTTTATGGTAGATATATTATTTAATTAATATTCAATTAAATTAAATAATAAAGTCCGTAGATTGAAATTTTGGTAATTTGTTAATCATAATGAGTTGTGACTGTAAGATACAAATTACATATGATTGAATCTTAGATCATCCGTGGTCGTAAGTAATAACAAGATATGGATATCATTATTACGGAAAAATCATCACATGTGGTATTTCTTACTTGTATAATAAGTAGCTAATCTCACAAGTTAAAGTGTAGTGACACTTAAATGAATACGTGGATGTTTTGCTATAGAATAAATTATCGAAAACTCACTGGGAGATTCCGCATGGATAACTATTTGAGTGTCAGTGGTTAATTTCTAATGTTCGGCAGTGGAATTGGTTCTTTAACTTGAGGTCATCATAGTACCTTCTATAAGGAAAATCATACTTTGGTGATGTTGGATGTCACTCCGCCAATGGATCTAATACAGCATCGTTCAGATATGCCAAGAATCGTATAAAAGTTGTGAATGATTAATAGATGATTAATCACTCTTAGATAATATGAGATTATGATTTATATTTCATCTAGTTAAGTCGATAATGAAATCATTGGCCAAGGTGTACTCATAAGTCAAAAATGAGTTTTTGACTTGCATTGATTTAATAGTGGAATGAAAAATATGATCGATAAATGAGATTGACACTTATCCATATCTCGTAATTGATCGGATCATATTGATAAATGGATTATAGTTTCATAATAAACAAACAAGTTTGGTTTTGTAATACCACATGACATTTTCCGTCACATGTATTACCCTGATACATTGCTAGATATCAATATGGGACGACGAATGTGAATGTTGATAAATTAAAATGGGTCTTTTAATTTATATATTTTGATTAAATCAAATTAATAATTCACGTCGTTAGACATTATGATTGGGAACCTAGTGGGTTACACACAAAAAGAAAACTAGGAGATTGAGATTTCACAATTAATTAATTTAACAAGTGTTGGATAAATTAATTAATTTGGTTTATTATTAAGAGGCCCGAATTAATAATATGATTAATT